GCAGTAGGTTAAAGTGGGGGACAGCAAGGTAAGGTGGGGACACAGAGAGTAGAATTGTGTAGAATGGGGTAAAATAGGATCAAGTGGGTGACAGAGTAGGATGGGGATGCAGTGTGAATGGGGTAATATAGGGTAAAACAGTAAGGTAGAATGGGGACACAGTAAGGTAAAGTGTGGGACAGTAGGGTAAAGTGGGGGGCAGTAGGTTAAAGTGAGGGCAGCAGGGTAAGGTGGGGACACAGAGGGTAGAACTGTGTAGAATGGGGTAAAATAGGATCGAGTGGGTGACAGAGTAGGATGGGGATGCAGTGTGAATGGGGTAATATAGGGTAAAACAGTAAGGTAGAATGGGGATACAGTAAGGTAAAGTGTGGGACAGTAGGGTAAATTTAGGACATAGTGGGGTAAATTTTGGGACAGTAGGGTAAAGTGGAGACCCAGAAGTGTAGAATGAAGTAAAGTAGGGTAGAATGCGGTAAGGTTTTCCTGTGGAAAACAGTAGGATAAAATGGTGGAGAGTAGGGTAGGTTAGAGACACAGTAGTATAGAGTGTGGGACATTAGGGTGGAGTGAGGGACACAGAACTATAAATGCCCCTGTTAAGGGAAAGGGTTCAAAACTGAGAATCATAAATCTGTTTAAAACTTTAGGTTGCTGAGAAAGTTTAGAGTCTGGTTTATTGGTGTTATTGCTGATGTTCGTGTGTGTTATGGACGGCTTTCATGGGGTGTCAATGTGGCGTGTTTACACAGTGAGAGAACTGAAACTAACCAGACACTCTGCTAAACATATTTTCCCCCCAGACCTTAGTGTCTCACCTGAGACTGTGCACAGGTGCTTGAAAACCCCAGCAGAATGCAGTCATTAGTCCTCAAGTTCATACTGTATTCAAGACATACAGTAAGGGGAAATAAATACTGAGACACTTTAGCTTTTGTTATTTAATACACTTCCAGTGCATTTGCAATATCCTCTTCAAATGTGCACAAATAGTGTCTTTTGACTAATAAATATGAGCAAAAAAAGTATATATTCATAATCATAAACAAAGAAAGGTTTTAAAAAAATAATTTGATAGGGAGAAAAGTATTCAGACACCACACTATACCTACATTCGTACATTGTTACAAAACTGTTGTTGGCAATTACAGCTTCAAGGTGTCTACAGTAGAAAGTAAATAGCTTTTTGCAGAATTGTGTTTCAATTTTGGCCCATTCCTCTTGGCAAATCATCTTCAATTTCCCAAGGTTATGAGGATCCCTCTGATGGACTTGCAATTTCAAAATCCTTAATAAACTTTAATGGGGTTCAAGTCGGGAGGTTGGCTCAGCCATGCAAGGCCTTCTTGAGTTATTTTGGCTGTATGTTTGGGGTCGCTGTCTTGTTGAAACATCCATCATCTCTCCAGATTCAGTTTCTTGGCCTGTGAGATTAAGTGCTCCTGGTACATCGCTCCATTCATGTTTTTTCGATGATGTGTAATGTCCCAGTACTGTTTGCAGAGAAGCCGCCCAATATCGTGATGCTCCCACCCCCATGCTTCACTGTGGGTATGGTGTTCCTGGGATCATACATGCAACCCTTCTTTCTCCAAACATGGCAAGCTGAATTACTGCCAAGGAGTTCTGTTTTTGTTTCTTCTTTTGTTCCAAAAGATTTCTGATTCGTCTAAATGCTGTGCTTCTTTTTTTTGGTGCAGTTCATTGCTTATTGTTCTCTGTGTAACTGGTGTTCCTGCTGCTTTCAGGTTGTCCTGCAACTCTTTTCCAGTGACTGCTGGAAACTCTCTTGCCTTTCTTATCATTAGACTGAGAGCGTGCTGTGAATTCTTGTGTAGCGTACCTGTCTGGGGACTAGTCTGGGGATTAGTTGTGCTTCCGTGACCTTTAAACCTGCATATTATTGAACTTTTATATTATTGAAGTTGTACTGACAGGGATGTTTAAGGTCTTTTCTATGGATCTGTAGCTTTTTCCACTCAAGTGTTGTTTAATAATGTTGTTCCTTGAAACTTTAGGAAGCTCCTTCACCTGCACCATGATTGCTACTTGTTGCAAGAAATTCCCAACCAATGACACCAGGTCCTTACATACTGTATACAATATATATATTCTAGTGTATAATCTGAATACTTTTTTCTTTATCAGTTTATCTTATCTTTTTTAAAGCTTATGAATACATACTCTTTGTCCATATTTATAAGTGCAAAGTCAAAAGACATTATGTGTGTAAGTTTGAGGTGGACTTTCTGTGCATGTTCACCTCATGTCTCCTCCGGGCTCTCTGGTTTCTTCCTGCATTTTTCTGTTTTAATAACTTAAAGAGAAAGTGAGGGAATGACTGTTTATAGCTGGTTCAGCATAAGCGATAACAGGAACTAACTTGTTTTGCAGATGTTCTACATCTGTAACTGTGACTATATGGATAAAAAGCATGTCTCATTCATTAATAACTAAAAAAACCTGTTTTATTGCTTGACTGTTGTCATGTCATCATTTCAACTTGCTTACTCAGTATGAGGAGCACTGATACACTGTAAAGTAAACGATTAACGGTGATTAAGGTTTTAACTGGATCTTCATTAGAGGTGTCTCGACATGAGGAATTAATGCACTTCTATGAAACAATCAGAAATGTTCAGCAGCAAACTATATCCCTATAACTATAACCCTTTGTTCACAAAGAAGCCATGCTTTCAAAGCACCAATAAACACACACTAATGTATGACTCACACCAATTGTGTTGACTTCAGAAGTGTCTAGTTGTGTTTATTGCTCTACTCCACCCTGCACATGAGGACTTTTTTCCAGCTTGGATGGAAATATGAACTTTATGATGATGATGATGGTGAAAAGCAAAGACATTCGGTGTAACATAGCTTGGTACGATGGGCTGACACCTGCTACCTCGCACTCTGTTCCCTCGAATTCCATGAACAGCTTAATGAGCCATATGAGAGGAGCTATTAGTTCAGTAAACATCTCAGCCTGCCTTCTGGGATCTTCAGTCCTGTGGGCTGCCTTCTAAGGGAGTTTATCTAGGGCCTTACTCTGGGTTTTTAAGGACATGGTACAGAAAACTGCATTCTGTATTATTGAACAACAGTCAGGAAAGTGAGAGCTGCTTAAATTTGTATTAAGTATCATATTAAATTATAGGATCTCTTGGATGAGTATTATCTAATTATATTCATACCTTGTAACAATTGCAAAAGATGATCACCTTATAACATCCTTTCTTCAATACAAACAATATTCTGGCAGATTTAATATAACTGTAACATTTGTTTTTAAATTCTCTGTGTATATATATATTTTTTCTACATTAAGAGTAGGCTGAATAATATTTGTGAAATAGGCAAACAGCTCCTTCCCATGCTTGGGACTCCTCCTAGTGGTTTGTCTGCACAAGTGTGAGTGTGTATAAGAGGTGGAGCTTTCATTTAAATGAATTTTGTTTTGTTTTAACCTCAAATTGTTCCACTTCAGAGAAAGACAGCTGGTTTAATGTAGGAATAACATCCCAAGAAACTGTGTACTGTCACCTCAGCTAGAACAAAGCATGACCAAACATGGGGTTTTCTTCATCTTGATGTATAACATTTAAGAAATGAATTCTCATACGGAATTATTTTTCTGAAAGTGTGATGCATAGGACCCCACTAACTTCAACTGTCCTTTTTAACAATTACTCTCAGGCTCAGAATTATGATGTGGCATCATTATTGTTATAGAAATATCTATGATCTGAGATCTATGATCAAAAATATGTTTTTAGGCTCATTGAAGAAATTGAGCCAAGTTGGATGAATAGCTGGGAAAATAGTTTTTAGTGTCATTCCACTTTTAGTTTCACACGGGTCATTTGACACGATGTTATGGTTAAACAGAAAACTACAAAAAGCCTGATCTACAAAAAGGCTTTGAGAGGAACAAGATCGGTATTCTTCTCTAGGAAAAGCAACAAATACAAAAGAATTTCTGATTTCTCAAAATCTTTTATGTTCGGCACATAAAATGTACAATATACACAGTACAAAACACATACCAATTAAAGAAGATCACACAATTTGGGTCGAAACATCAGTCTTAGCAGGGGGGCATGGTGGCTTAGTGGATAGCACCTCGCACCTCTGGGGTTGGAGGTTCGAATCCTGCCTTTGCCCCGTGTGCATGGAGTTTGCATGTTTCCCCCTGTGCTTTGGGGGTTTTCTCCCCAGTCCAAAGAAATGCTTTGTAGGCTGATTGGCATTTCCAAATTGTCTGTTGTGTGTGTACAGTTGTGCCCTGCAATGGATTGGCACCCTTGAGCCCCGAGTCCCCTGGGATAGGATACCCCCAGGTTACCCCGTGACCCTGTGTAGGATAAGTGGTACAGAGAATCATTCTTAGCTGACTGGTGGCTTCCCACGATGCACAAAACCCACGTTTTCTCCACTTATGGTACGATACAGATATCAGAGCTCTGGGAATCAGATATCCATTATCCATTACTAGACCCCAACATCCTCACAGTAACTGATCTGAGGCTGTGCATGCTTTCATTGTGATGAACACCATAGACGCGATGGCAGAGTGCTTTAAGACAATTTATGACATGTGATCTTGTTCAAGATCTTGGTTGAAATAATTAAAATATGCATTCATGGTATTCCAATTCCGATTCATGTCAGTGAACTGGATTGGTAAATATGTCGAATGTCAGTGTCAATATGTTGATCTGATGTGTCAGATACCAGTCAGGGTTTTAGGCCAGTATTGACCCCAATACTGATACTTACTATCTGATCAGTACTTGTCAAGGTTTCTTTTTCTTTACTCATTTAACTTTAGCTTCTAGCTTCGTCTCTTGATTATTAGGAAAATAATCAATGAAGATGTGACAAGATACAGAGTTACTGTTACCACCTTGAAGTCAATTATTTTCCAAAAGCAGCATGTTCTGAAATGACTTATTCATTTTATATCGAAGCAAATTGCCAACAATTACAATTTTTAACATATAAATAAACACCATTGTACGTTTTAAGCATTTATATTACACTTACGGTTGTGTTACGTCCCTGAAACCAGTTAGTTCCTGTGATCACTTACGTTACAGCACTTACAAACAGTCTTACCTTCACCAGCCTCTCATGTTTTCACTCTCTTGAAGTTAATAAGACAAAAAAAATGCAGTCCTCTGTCCTGAGGACTTTCCTGTGGTGGAAAAACTTAAAGTTACAGCTTTACCTTTGGCAAACGACGCACTGACACTGGAGACTCCTTCCAAAAATCTTAAAGAAATGTCTTCAAGCTTCACCATGTTAACAGCCATACATTTTTATTTGTTAAATAACATGTTTTTTGTATTCCTTTATTGTTGAGTTTAGATTATGTGTCATGCCATACAATTCTCTATGAATTAGTTGTTACTATAGAAACAATAACATATTAGAATGAGTGCATTAATATAAGCCCGTGATTTGAATTACATCCAATTCTTCTATCAGAGCTGCTGGTATAGAAAATGTATCAAGTTCCAATTAGAAACGGCTGTAGCCAAAATGTATGGTTTACAAATCACTGTTACTTTTATTTAAATTTAAATTGTATTTCCCTTTTCATGAGCTATCCCCTGCTGAACAGGGCGTAAGCACAGAAAGTGTTGGAACGTAATTGCTAGTTAAGTTAGCAAGCTAACGTCACTGACCGCAGTCTGGCAATGTTGCTTTTGCTTACCTTACGTGCGATTTAACATCATTTCCTTTCTGGTTAGTTCTGAAATGAACAAACTTGTCATTTACAAACGCACTTAAAGTATGTTCTGTACATATACTCATCTTCTATATTAATTCATACAGTTTATTGCTACAGTACATATTGCTACATGAGCAGTATGATGTTTCTGGCTTGTGTGATTTTGGAGAGGATGTAGGGGCAATGTTAGCTAGCTAGCTAATTTTTTTCCCTAGATTTGCAAGTAAACAACAATACGTAAACAGCATCTAGACAAAGTCAAGGTGCTAGGTGCTACCAGTAACACACACCTTTTACGTATTGCATCCGTTCCCCATAAGTGAATTAGCTTTTTCCACTATGTGAATTTTATATATTTGCATTTGGTAGTTTTCAGGTGTCTCTCCTGTATCACTGTAGCAACTTTGTACTTCTGCTACATAGTAAATATTTTTAGATGTTGGACAATAGTCTGTGATTTGAGCCACAGCTAACGTCTTTAAGTGTGACCTAGCTTAGTGTCTTTGTCATGGCAACCCTCGTGTCCAGAATAGACTAACATTTGCCATGTTGTGTTGTTGCTTTGGAGAATGCATGATAATCACAGAATCTTACTATTTAATTTCAAGCCTCGAGCATGCACGGGGTTGAGTGGGCAGAACAAAGGCGGTGGAATTCATTACAAGGCCAAGTGGGAGCCATGCATCAGGCTCTAATTTGCTGGACGACTGCAGGGAAGGCAATTAAAGATTTTTGTCTCCTGGCCAAAGCGGTGTGCAATTAAGAGGAATGAAATTCAGCCTCTTTATTTCGCAATCACGTTGAGGGCTGTTAGCAGCTAGATTAGCGGGAGTGTTGCTAGGACAATTCGTGCTAGGTTTTTTTTTTTGCCCCCAGTATAGTCACGTTTCTCCCAAAGTTACAGCCTAAAAAGCTTTTTATAGATTTAGATATTAGAGCTTGTGTTCTTCTTTGTAAGGGACTACTAAAAACAAGAGCCTAGACTGTTTTAGACTTTTTAGACTCTACAATTTGCTCTAACAAAAAAGTGGGATTTTATATTTTATATCCTAGGCTACACTAGAGGATAACAGGGCCAGTTTTGATGGTGATTCCCCTGACTATCACAAAATGTGTTCTGAGTTTAAGTTGGTTTAAATTATTATCTTCCTGTATTATCCAGTGGTGTGGGATGTGTAAAATCCAATCTTATCCCAACTCACAGTCCAGCCATGGCTTCACCGATTTAAAATCATAAATTTAAAACCTGTTTAATATTTATGACTCAACAACCATGTTGAAATCTCCAGGTTGCTCTAATTAGCTACCAGCTGCCGAAACACACACTGAGCTGGTAGACCATGATCATCTTTGCCAGCTCATAAGTACTGGTAGAAAGGAACCATTTATTTTCTGAAACCACTACTATTAATGGAACACTGTAGACAAGTTGTTTTCAAGAAAATAACACAACGTTAAGGCAATTAGAAAATCCCAGACATTTATTGATCAGTTTAATAATGTAAGGCGTGGGGTTTAGGTGACCGAGGGTTCAGGAGTTCTGTTATAACTCTGCAGTTTTAATAATGACAATGGACTTGAAATATCGAGGACATTAAACTTTTTATTGGGCCCAGAGTGAAAAACTAGGGAGAGGAGCAACTCCACTCCATCCCCACAATTTTCTTCTCCACACTTCAACTCTCCTCCCATTAATTACACAATATCCTCTCTATGAGGAAACAACACCAAAATAAAAGTCCTTAATGAAATATGCAAAAATAGAATACAATGAATATAAAACAGAATCAGTTTCACAGTAATAAGAAAGCTGGAAAATAACTTATCAACAAAGGTGGGCTCTACGTTCAACCAGATTGGACTGTGTTTTGATAGGTGGTCAGACCATGCTGAATTTTTCATCAGGGGATCCTTTGGTGTGTGAGAATGTTGATTGTCTTGTGAGAAAAAAATGTGTGACATCTGAGGTTCTGAGTGTCAGGATCTGATTTGTGAGGACAATCTGAAACCGTGTTGGTGTTTGTTCTGCTTGGTTTGACAACCAAAGGACTTTGCACAAATAATCTGTGAAATCTACTTTGTACAGTATCTCGGCTCTATAACATTTTCATCATTAAAGGATTGCATAAATCTTTTAGTGGGGACCAGACGTTAAACAGTTACGCCTTCTTTATTACGATTAAACTTCTGGGGAGGTCAGGAATGACTCTGTAATCCGATCTCTGTGTGTAGTGTGATTCCTTTCCCTAAACTGCTTAGTAATTGATGTAGACAAGTGATATATATTTGATAGCGTGTTATGCTTGAGTTTCCTGTTGCAGTAATGACCTGTTGTAGAGACATAAAAGCAGCCAGCAGTGGTGATGAGTCAGTGTGTACTGAAGAGGATCCCTCTAATCCTCCAGTACATTTGAGACGCCACACTAACGAGGTGATTTATTTAGATTTGCAGTGGCATATTTTATAGACTGGACAGAGTAGCTAATGACCTTTCACCTGCCAGTGACGTCATCTGTAGTTAAATGTGGAATCAGTACTAATTTCATGTTTCAAGTGGAGTATGAATACAGCCAGTCTCTGTACAATCGGTGTACAATCAATGGGTGGTAAATGGATGGTAAATTAGTTGAAATTGAATGGGTATTTAGCAGTGACATGTGTTTGTCAGGCTTTTCTACTTACAGTAAAACACAAAATTTTGCCTGCACAAAATACGATAGCATTGTACAATTACTATATACTATGTAACGATAAAGTTTACAGTATCTTCATAAATTGATTAAAAACATAAAAAAGGAAAACACACTTGATGTGCATTCTTTGTAATTCATTTTCTAGAAGTAGAGTTAAAAAACTGTATTGCGGTGTTTTTTTGTAGTTAATTAAGAGAAGGTACAATGCCATATTGCTCTGACCAAAGTGACTTGAATGCACCTGATGTCGTAATTACGACTTCACAACTCATAAATATGAACTTCCCATTAGGACTTGAATGCACAGTCATTTCAGGACGTTCACACAAATGCTGTGGAGAGTTCACTGGGCAAGTGACTTAATGTAACTTACTGTGGCAGAATCTTTGACAGCTGCTAAACCTCTGGTCATTAGAACAGAGTCTTCACTGAACTAGACTCAGGCAGATAATCAGTTTTATGATACATAAGAAATGAAACATTACAGTGTGTTATATTATGTAAGAAATAACACACATCACACAGTGCTGTTATATGAAAATAATGCAAGCCACGGGTGGTGGGATGCGGCACATGGTGTGAGCCGAGTGCCTGAAGTGCATTATTTTGGTATAACAGCACTGTCTGTCATGTGTTATTCCACTTATACCACAGTGAATTGCCAATGATTGCAATGTTTAATTTATTACTGAACGACACGTTACTTATTTTAATGGTTTATGGTTTTAATGCTG